CAAAGAGCTGGCCCTCCTTCAATATCTGCATGATGAATAACTCTCCATGGAAACCAGTGCCACTATGGTCAGTGACAACATGCTGTAACTTACTCCGAAGACAGCAGGGGCGGGGGTGACACCGGGAGCTCAGGCAGTTTGCACTAGGCTCTCTCTGGGTCTTTGTTCATGCCCCTTCCCCTCCCTCCTCCTCTGTCACTGGCCTCTCCATATGACGTCGCTCCTTTTCTTCCCCTCCTCATCATGGCCTTTGTGCCTTTTCTTCTCCTTCCCCTTAATTTCCACGTTCTCCCTTTGAGCTTTCTCTTCCCTTCCTCTCATTTTCCATTGTTCTTCTCCCCTTTCCACCTTCTCCTTTATTTAGTAAAAACATGGATCTGACGTGTATTTTAAATTCACATTTTAATATCCTATCAGCCTCCATTCCTCATTTTTCTTGTGGAGCATATGAATTGTATAGGTGTTTACCTGCCAACAACTACTTTTTGCTTGTTTGTGGCAAAAAAAAACAAAACAAAAAACTGCCACGATGACAAGTGCCTCTTGCCAAGTCGGGTGTGCAGGTGCAGAGTCACACCCAGCTGCCCTCAAGGTCCACACATGGCCCAGTCATCTGGCAGCTTTCTGTCTATCCCAAGCATCCTAGTGCCTGCGATAAGGGGAATAAGTAACCCTATTGCCACCACTCCCAGCTTCTGAAGAACACAGAACACAGAGCTCAAGGGAAAGGAGAATTCTTTTGCAGACAAAAGATAATTTTGTACTTTTAATCTGGATCCCTGAGGTCATGTCCTCCCCCCAATGACCATCCCCCATCTTTACTGAAGTACAATTGATTAATACAAATTGTATATCGTTTCGGTGGACAATGTGATGTTTTGGCCTGTGAGTACACTGTGATATGATCACTCTAATCAAGTTCATCAGCATATCCATCGCCTCACATAGTTGCCTTTTTTTTTTTGCCTGTGTATGGTGAGAACATTTAAGATCTACTCGCTTAGCAATTTTCAAGCATACAATGCAGTGTTGTGCCCTTAGTGAGGTCTGAATCCTATTGATTATCCAGTGCCTGCCTTTTCTCCCTTCCAGTTTTTCTGTTCAGTTAATGTTGGTGCCACATACATTAAATTGAGTATGTGGACAGCAGAGTGTAGTTCCTGAATGAGGAGAAGAAAGAGAATATGAATATCTATGATTTATTTCTTAACAGGAATAAGTGTGAGGTTTATTTCTGATACTTTCTATAGGAGAGTCAATACCTGTTTTTATCAAATATCTGCCTCCTTAATTAAGAGCAATAGCTGACAAAACTTAATCAGCAACGTCAACATGACCCTGTCACGTTACCCTGCTCTGACTTCAAAGAAAATTTAGATAATGTTAAAGGATTAGAAAAGAATAACAGAAAGTTCAGCATGCCTACTTTAAAACACCTGAGTTTTCAAGTTCTCCAGATATGTTATATATAACTTTTTATTATGTAACATATAATCTGGGAAAAACCTTCTTTCTTCTTGCTAATATCATACACATTTGTACTGTTTCTTTTAAAAACTTGTAGAAAACTTGGAGGGGAAAGCATTTCTAGCCTGTCCTGTTGGTCAGTGGATTAATTTGCTTCCAGTAAGTGCCTCTGTACCGTCATTCAGCCTATCCCTTCTCTGGCATGAAGCTTTGCCTTCCTGGATGCTCAGGACATGTGATTTGAGGATAAGTTTACCTGGGCTTTTCAGGTGTCTTTGTTTCCTTCTGTTCATTCCAAAGCTTTTGCTAGGAACAGGGAAGCTGACATATCAGCAGGCGAGGATCCTTCAATAGTGTGGTGGGTGAGGGAAGGTTGAATAGCTAGAAAATACAAAGGGAAGAAAATAACATACTTTGCCATTTCTATAACCTTAATACAGTTTTAATAAAATTTTTCTTTGGAGGCTACAAATTCATTTCTTTAAATAAGAAGCTTTGTTGAGCAAAAATATTCTTACAATTGCCATTAAGGGCACCATTTTGTTCAAGATGAATCCATTAAACATTTTCTTTATCATAATTAAGCCCAATATACCAAATGCCAAAGATTAGCTATCAGCTTAGTACGAGCCAGGAAGCTGAAGAATAGCTGTATATTCAGTAAGCCCCAAAGAGTTTGTTTCTGTTTTGTTTTGATGCTAAGGAAAGGCAGGTGGCTCAAACCCAGGGCAGTGTCTTTGTCTCTGCAGGATAAGCCTATTTAACTCAGCTTAGTTCATATCTTCAGATGCAATCCTTGCCAGACCAGCGACCTCGGGGAACCCTAAAGCCAGACAGACCACCTGCAGAGGAGAGCAGAGGATCAGAGGAAGGTCACAGGTGGCATGAGTGGTGGGCTCTGACAGGAATAAGCCCCATTAATGGGCTATTATGTAAAGAAAGCTGGTCACCTGGCCTCCCACCCCTGGCCAGGAAAACCTGGACTGCAGTTTCAATCCCATTGCACGGCATTTAGATATTTGTCTGCTGTGCTATCTGTGGGGTTCTTGAACTTGTGACTTTTAAAGACAATACAAGGATAGACTGGTAATGACTGACACTTAGTTGAATGAAAATTACCCAAAAGTTTACTAAGCAATAAACTTCAGTCTAACTAGATACCCAATAAACTGTATACAATATGCAAATATGGAACTGACTGAGAACATTAATTATTTTCCTGTGGTCCAATTATGAAAGGAAAAGAAGCTTTTTTCCTTTTCTCTTACCAAATGCAAAGTGGTTATTGGGAGGAAAAAAGGTGGGATTCTTGCAAGCGAAGCAGTAAAAAGAAGGGGTAGGTAAAGGAGAGTGGACGGACCTGCTCAGAGAAGGATTCACTGGCCTGAGGCGTGGTAGTGATGGGGGTTCTCCTGGGCTGGAGACCTGGACTCCCAGCTAGCACCCTACTTGGGGTCACCTATGAAGGTAGTGTGTGGTGACTTGAAGGCTTATCTCTAGGAGCTGTGACCTTTGAGGCTGTATCAATGACCCAAATTACCAAATTAGTCACAAGAGAGTAGATGCTGTGAAGAGCAGGTTGTCTACCGTCGGGTGAGCTATGGAAAAGTCAGCAAACATGGCTGATGGGCCAAATCCGGTCAGCCTCCTGTTTGTGTAAATAAAGTTTTATTGGCACATAGCCACACCCATTTGTACACTTATGATCTATGGCTGTTTTCATACTTCAGAAGCAGAGTTGAGTAGTTGTGACACAGACCCTATACATAGTCTGCAAAGCCCAGATTATTGGCTAGCTGACTCTCTACCGAAAAAAATGCTCTGACCTCGGGCCAGTTAGCGTGGACTGTGGGCTGAGAGGAGATCGCACCCGCTGTTCTCCTCTTAGCCTGGAGTCAGGAGATCCTTTGCAAATTTTTTGGATCCCTTGAGCCCTCCAGGATACTCCAGTGATCCGAGGCCAATGAACGATGACTCATCTCCTCATCCTCCCAATTCTCACCAGCTTAGTTCCAGACTTAAGTATGAGATGATATTTTATATTTATATTACAAGCACTGTAACACAAATGTGTACCTCCTAGGTGCGACATTGGTTTCCTATTGTTGCTGTAACAAATTGCCGCAAAATTAGTGACTTAAAACAACACAAGTTGATTATCTTACATTTTGCAGGTCAGAAGTCCAGAATCACTCTGTGTGAACTAAAAATCAAACGGTCAGCTGGGTTTTGCCCCTTTGGAGGCTCCGAGGGGAGATTCAGGTCCTTACGTTTTAGAAGCCTCCTCTAGTCCTCAGCTTGTGGCCCCGTCCTCCATCTGCAAAGCCATCACGATAGCATCTTCTCTCCTCTCTGACCTCTGCTTCCATTGTCACATCCTCTTAGACTCTGATCCCCATGCGTCTCTCTTATCAGGATTCTTGTGATTACGTTCAACCCACCTGGATAATCTCTCCGTCTTAGATCTTTAATGTAATCATACCTGCAAAGCCCCTTTTGTCATGCAAAGTCACATTCCCAGGTGCTAGGGATTAGAACGTGGAAGTCTTTGAGGGGCATCATTCAGCCAGCCACACATAGAGAACTTTGAGGCTTTGATGCTAACTTTGGCTTCATAAAGAATTGCTGAGACGCCATGGATGTCTAGGGGGAATGGGACTATTCTGGTCCTGTCTAGAGTCTCTACTTTCTATTCACTCTCAACTCTCATTCAGGAAAGGGATGGATGGGAAACAGCACAGGCAGTCACTGGTTCATAGCTCTCATTAGCACTGCCTGCCAGGCGAGAATGGCCAGGGACCCAGACGTGGCAATGGAGTGGGCACTTGGACAACCTTATTTAGTAAACTTGGAGGACTCCTCTGGTCCTCTACAGCCCTGACTCATATTTCCACTCCCTGGGAGGGGCTTCCTTGTCCACATCATGTTCCCCCATGGCCATACCTTAGATGGACATTGGGGAGAATGCCCTTTCTAGGGGAAGCAGGTGTAGGTTTTGCAGTGCAGTGCAGTACTTGTTGCAGGTTTAGGGATCAGGACACTGCCATGAGGGGTCAAATACTCAGAGGTTATTTGTGACCAGATTCCAACTAGCTTTACAGTTTTCCTTAAAAAAAAAAAAAAAAAAAGCTTCTGATTTGTTATGGGCTGAAATGTGTTCCTAATTCCTAGTATCTCAAAATGTGACTCTATTTGGAGGTAAGCTCTTTAAAAGATAGTTATGTCAAAATGAGGTTGGATGAGTGGGCTGTCATCCAACATGCTGGTGTCCTTATAAGAAGAGGAGATTGGCCGGGCACGGTGGCTCATGCCTGTAATCCCAGTACTTTGGGAGGCTGAAGCGGGTGGATGACCTGAGGTCAACAGTTCAAGACCAGCCTGGCCAACATGGTGAAACCCCATCTCTACAAAAATGCAAAAATTAGCTGGGCATGATGGCAGGTGCCTGTAATCCCAGCTACTCGGGAGGCTGAGGTGGGAGAATCCCTTGAACCTGGGAGGCTGAAGTTGTAGTGAGCCAAAATTACGCCATTGCACTCCAGCCTGGGCAACAGAGTGAGACTCCATTTTGAAAAAAAAAGAAGAAGAAGAAGAAGAAGAGGAGATTAAGACACCACCACATGCAGAGAGATGACCATGTGAGGAGGACATCAGAAGAAGATGGCCACCTACAAACAAGGAGGGAGGCCTCAGAAGAAACCAACCCTGCTGGCACCTTGCTCTCAGATTTCCAGCCTCCAGAACCATGAGAAAATAAATTTCTGTTGCTTAAGCTGCTGAATGTATGGTGCTTTATAGTGGCAGCCTGAGCAGACTAACACAGATTCTAAGCAATGGGAGCTCTGTCAGGTGTGTGCGTTGGGGGAGACATTAGAGAACTGTTAGTAGCTGACACTCACAGCGGCTGCGGGCACTGGCCCAGGAAAGGGCTTCTGGGCAGCCACGAAAACAGCATCTACCCCAGCGGGCAAGTCCTCAGTCACAAAAAGGCAGTGCAGATGCTGGAGGATCAAACCAAATAAGAGGTTTTGACTGCTCTAAGCTATGAAACACAAAAATTGGGACACCACCAGGACCTTTTGAAGTTGGAGCTTGAAGTCTCTTTGTAGGCAGAATATGTTTTGCCTTAAAAATAGCACCCAATGATAACCCTTATCAACACCCATTCTGCAGATAACAGGCCTCCCTCAGGGACCATATAGGTGCCATTCTCCCCTAAAGTCAACTGTAGCCTCAAAGAGCCATTGAATTCATAAAGCAGCATGGAGATACAGGTCATATTTTCTCCTCTCTAAACGTAGAAGCTTGTAAGGCTACATGCTTTCTAGACACAAAATACCGTATTTCCTTTGCATCTTAATCCATTCAACTCTGGTTGCAGTCATCTTCTTATTATTCACTCCATACCAGATAGATGAATTTCCATGATTTTCTAGTTTCCATTCTGGTTCTCCTGTTCCTGGTAGGGATAACAGAGAACACTATCTTTCTCTTTCTTCAAAGATTCTGTCCTGTGAGAATGTTCCTCTCCAGTGATCTAGTATAAACTGCACCATCCAGCTCTACTCACGATTTCGCTGACCACAGATTATTTGTGACATAGATTCTTATTTCTCATTTCTCCTGTGATGTTATACCCTGTGTCAAGCACAGAAGAAATAATGGAAACTACATTCACCTTTATTTTCCAAGCTTGATAGAACTATAGTGATGTATAGCAGTTGGCATCAAAAGATGAAGGTACAGTGAGACATTTGGTTTAGTAATCAAAGAGGTGAATGAAATAAGATGGAACACCAAGTTTGAGACTAATATTTACACAGTGGTATAACCCAATGGTGAGTTGGATATGTTTTTTTAAAAGCCTACACATTTTCTTCTGCATAGGACATCAGACAATGAAATACAAACATGTAGAGTTTTTTGTTGTTGTTGTTGTTGTTGCTACAATCAAAGCTAGAAAGGTTTAGAGTGTTTTCTTAGTAAACAGTCTTCATATGGTTAGGAAGAGGTCTTCAGGCAAATGTACCATTTCTCTATAGGAGAAATTGCTCTTTCTTCTAACAACTGCTGAATTTAGTTTTCAGATATTAAAGTGTGGAAACCAAATGGACGTCCATCAAAAGGATTGAATTGGTGCAAAAATGAGTGACTTCTGGACCTCTCTTTATGGTTGCTTTGAGAACTACTGCATCTAAAACTGGACTACAATAGAAGGTATAGATCCAGCAAAGGAACATACTGGGGACTAAGAGGGGCAATTTTAAGCATGTAGGTGATCTCAAGGAGGCTGATCTCAAGTAGGCAGACCACAAAGGATCTAAAGTCACCAACAATGTTGCACAAAGATGTCAAGAGACACTTGCACGGGTCCTGCATGGATGATCATCCTTGCAGGTCTATGAGTGGGGTAGGGCTATCGGAGGCTCCCAGTTCAATAAAGAGAGGCAAGTACAGAGAAGAGGGCCTCTGTTATTCAGAGGACCAATACTGAAATCAGTTCCAGATACGTTCGAGTAGTAATAGTTCAACAAGAGATGGATTCCATGGGAAAGAAACTTGCAAAAGACTAAGAAGAGAAGCAAGTTTATCAATATGCAATCAGGACTGTATCCCACAAATGAATGCTATAGTTCATCTCTTCTTTCAGGACTTACTGAGGATTTGCTACGTGCATTCACCAGGTCAGCACTCGGCATCAATGCAGCAGTATCCCTTCAGCAGTATCCCTGAAGCTAACGTTTCAGTGGGAGAGCAGGTGGTGACCCTTCTGTAAAGCAGGTGAGGGGCTGAAGAACGGAGAGGAAGGGGGTGGAGTTTTCCATAGTGTGTTCATGGAAGGCTTTGCTGAGTGATACAGTGAAAGGAAATGAGTTATGCAAAGATCTTGGGGTGAGACGGGAGGAAGAGGGAATATTCCAGGCAAAGAGACTATGACAGTTAAATTTTGGCGTCCACTTAACTGAATTAAGGAATGCCTAAAAGCTGGGCAAGTATTGCTTTTGGGTGCATATGTGGGGGCGTTTCCAGAGGAGACTGGCATGTGAGTTGGTGGACTGAGTGGGGAAGGGCCACCCTCAATGCAGGTGGGCACCATCCAATCAGCTGGAGGCCCGATAGAAGAAAAAGGCAGAGGAAAGGTGAATTCACTGTCTCTCCTGGAGCTGGGACACCCTTCTTCTCCTGCCCTTGGCAATTAGAATCATAGGCTCTCTGGCCTGTGGACTCCAGGACTTGCACCAGTGACCTCCTTGGATTCTCAGGCCTTTGGCCTCAGACCGGGAGTTACACCATTGACTTCCATGGTCCTCGGGCCTTTGGACTGAACTTCTCTAGTTCTTCAGCTTGCGTATGGCTTATTTTGAGACTTCTCTACTTCCATAATCTCATGAGGCCCTTCCTTTAATAAATCCCAACTGTCTGTTTATCTATCTAGCTAATCATCATCTATTTTCATTGTATTGATTCTTTCTGGAGGACACGGACTAATATAAAGAGTAAGTGCAAAAATCCTGACTTGACAGTCAGAGTTGCAAGTTCCAGCAACAAGAACATTGGTGAATCTGGGACAGGGGTATTGAAGGAGATGATGTCAAAGAGACAGACAGTGGCTGGACATGTGTGGCTCTGTAAGGGCCTCCCACCCTTCATGTGATGGAATTCCACCCTTCAGTGTGGGTTTTGTAAAGGGAAGTGATGCCATTTGATTTCTCTATTAAGAAGGTGGCTACAGCTGCTAATAAAATCCATTCTGAGATCACCAAGTGTAAAACCCCGTGCATTTCATGAAGCATTTTACTTGATGCTCACGGCAACCCCATAGGAGCTCACTTATTATATTCTTGCCTGGAGTCACACAGACAGAAAATGACTGAATTTGGAGTCAAACCAAGACTTGTAGCAGTAGAATAGCCACAGTACAGCATTGCATCACAAGGGAGTATGGGTGAAAGGGCGAGAGTAACTCAGCACAGAGACAATTAGAAAGAAGTGAGGTCCAAGGGTTGGTCTCAGCTGCCATCACCAGACAGCATTGCAATGGGGATTGGGACCTGAAACCCTGGAATGGGCTCTAGTTCCATTAGCTCGTACTAGTTTGCTGGCTGAGATAAGCCATTTAAATCAATCTGGACCTGCTACTTCACAAATAAGGTTGCTGAACTCCAAGACCCCAAGTTACATTTTGCTCTCAATGATCCATATACTGTATAAATGAAGTATTACATTATCAAAATATTTTATATTGAATTTTATTATCGTTTATTAGGTTTTATAGAATTAAAAATTATAGGAGTAGAAAGGTCTCGATCAGCTAGCTCATTTTATTTATTTTTAGCTTTGTGGATGAAAAATAATGAAAACCACAAATAAATAAAAATAACATCTTTGCAGCCAGGCACGGTGGCTCATGTCTGTAATCCCAGCACTTTGGGAGGCTGAGGTGGGTGGATCATCTGAGGTCAGGGGTTCGAGACCACCCTGTCCAATATGGTGAAACCCCATCTCTACTAAGAACACAAAAATTAGCTGAGCATGGTGGCACACGTCTGTAGTCCCAGCTACTTGGGAGGCTGAAGCAGGAGAATCTCTTGAACCCGGGAGACAGAGGTTGCAGTGAGCTGAGATCGTGCCATTGCACTCCAGCCTGGGTGACAGAGTGAGACTCCGTCTCAAAAAAAAAAAAAAAAAAATTGCAAATATGTATTAATATACATTGCATACACAGACATGTTTCATGTACAGACACACTTGTACACCCATACATGCACTCCCCCAGCCACCAATACTTCTGTGTCATAAACTCCACTCCAGTGTGACTGGTGCTTCCTGGAGCTCCACCAAAGAGTTCCTGCCACGGCAACCCCTGATTTTACCCTCCGGAGACAATCACTGTCTAAATAGGTTGGCTCTATCTCTTGTGGACACTGACCATGTTTTACAGGCTTCTCAGCATCTTCGAACACCCTTGGGTATGTCTGGGGAATTTCTAGCCTTGCGAGTCCCACCTTCCCAAAGCAGACCCCAAAGGACTGAGAGCTGTAAATTTGACAGCTGGGTCCCAGAAGTTTCCAGGCTCCACCAAGCTGACCCTCACTCCCCAGACTCTCCTTTGGGAAGGATCAGCCTGAGGAAGGAGGCTCCACTGGAATCTACCTTTGGTGGGGGCATCTGACTCCTGGAGGTGACAGCTTGCTGTTCTAGCCACTGGAGCAGATGCAGCATGAGACGCAGGGCAGCAGCAGCTGCATCCAAGCTTGACAGCGGGGCAATCTGTAGCATCCCAGGCTTGGGGGTGGCGGGAGGGGGTGGGAGGACTCTCACTGTCAGGCCAACTCCTACAAGCAGAGAGCCTATTCTCTAGGCCTCTTAAGGATATCGTGGACTCCCCAGTCTACTCTTTTTCGCTGAATCCACCATAATGAACTATTTTTTACTTGTAACTAATAAAACGGTGTGATCCTGACTGCCCAACGCTTGTTGAGACGTGTCTCCAGAGCCGATACACATTTAAGCAACGTGTATTTTTATACTTAACAATGGAACTCAGCTGTACACCCTGGAAAGCTTAGACCCATTCTTTCTTTCTGACTGCCCCATGGTATTCGATGGTATTGTATTGGTGCCCCATACTTTGCTTAACAAGCCCCCTATTGCTTTACCTGTAAGAGATTTTCTTATTTCACTGTTCTATACAATGTAGCCTGACACACACTGGTCATTTTCAACTCACTCTGTGGCTTTTGTATAGATTACTAACAGTAAGATTGCTGAAAGATTATATACGCACAGTAAAATTCTTAACATATAAAAACAAATTTTATTTTCAAAGGTTATTCTAATTTATACCTGTACTAAAGATTTATGAAGACACCGATTTTTCCCCATACTCGCTAATACTTGATGTTATTAGTCCTTTGAAATGCTGCCATTTTGAAAGGCAAAATTTCACCTCATTTTAATTTATATTTTAAAAATTATTAGTAATTTTGAGCATATTTTTACATAGTTACTGGCCATTTGTATTTTTCTTCTGTTTTGCCTATTTACATTTGCCCATTTTCTATTTTTTTACTGATAGGGATCACATTATATGTCATACATAATATATAACACATATTGCAAGTAATTTATGTATATTCTGTCGCAAATATTTTCCCTAAGTCTCTCATTTATCCTTTAATTTTATTTAGGGTATTTTCTACTACACAAAAGTTCTATTTAGCACTTGCTGGAATGATTCAACTTTAGAGAATTTAACAATGTAATTAAGTAAACTAATCAATAATTTGAGTAAAAAAAAAATCACATCAAATCCAAAGGAAAAAATAATGATTGAATTGAGACAAAAATGATCATTAAAAACTTTAAGTAAAATAAAATATTTGATTAAATGCTTTAGGTAAAACTTTAAAAAAACTTCTTAAGAGGAGTTTTGAATGCTATCAGAAGTCATTATGAAAACACTACACTAAATTGTAAAATCCTAAATGCATTCTGACTGAAGTTGGAAGCACGACAAAGTGTAGGGTATCTCCTTACTATAACTCAATCGTGTTTGGGAGGTTTTAGCTAATGCAATCAGATAGAATTAAGTGACTGATGTAAACTGAAAAAGAGATAAAAGCAGTATCACTCTTTGCAGATAATATGATTTTACTCCTAGAAAATGTAGGAGGTAAAACTAAAAGAAAACCTTTTAGAACTAATTTTCCTTTAAAAAAATTCACAGGAAGGTGTCATTGTGTTAAGTAGTGACTTTGAAACCCTCAACAGCTTTCCTCTATGCTAGCAGTAACTATTTAGAAATTAAAATGGTAAAAGTTTCTATTCATGACAGCTACTAAAAGTACAAATGGCCAAAAATAAATTTATCAAGGAATATACAAGAGTAGAATGTATACTTCAATATTAACATTTTATTGAAGACATAAAGACTTCAGTAAGTGGAGACATGTCATATTCCTGTATGGGAAGACTCAACATCATAAAAGCTTCTCAAATCAATGTATACGTTTTATGCAATTCTAATCAGAATTCTAATGAATTGTTTATATATTATGGTCCTGCTTTTGAAACTGGATAAATTGATTGTAAATTTCATATGGATGAATTACCTTGATAATTTCTAAGAATGTTTTGGGAAATTATATTTCAGGTATTTAAGTGTATGTTAGAGCTACTCTAGTCAAAACGATATGTTACTAGTATAGGAATAGACAAATTGATGACCAAAACAGAACATAGAGTCCATTAACCAATCCCAAAATACTTGTTTTTTTATGGTAAATGGTACTTGAACAAATAGCTAATAGCTTAGAAGAAAAAATATGCATTTATACTAAATTACAAAATAATTTTTAGCTAGATTAAAGATCTAGTGAAAAGATAAAATCCATTTAATGTAATAGTAAAATATAGGAGTTATGTTTTTGTTGTTTAGCCAAGTCGGGGAGGTAATTCTCACTAAGTCTGATAACCTGGAAGACACGCCAAAAAAACAAACAAAAGAAAAAAAAACTCACCTGATCTCTTTGATTATATATTAACCCCACCATACTATAGGTTAGGATATAAGACCTATAAGTGGAAATAAGTAACTCATGCAAGATCACTCAACTTGGCAGACAGAGAAAATTAAGGGCTAATCAGATGGTCAGAATGTTTAAGTGGTATGAGTTACACACTTTTCTCTTTCCCAGTCATTCATAAACTTTAATGAACATTAAAAACCACCTGGAGTGCTCATTACAATTTACCTGACTCCCATTTCCAGTTTCTAATTTAATAGATCAGATTAGGGACTGAAAATTTACATTTTTAATAAGCTCACAGGTAATGTCGGTGCTGCAGAGTGTAGCCTCACTTGGAGTAATAATTTGCTATGCAACTTCCTTCAACAAAAAATCATGCCGTATATATATATAAACTTGGATGTAATCAAAGAGCATACATTTTATTCCAAGTTATTTTAGGGGTACAACCATGTTATGGGCTAGTGAAAACTTAGGCTGGAGGGGTAAACAGGTACGAAGAGTCAACTCAACATCAAACTCCATCAGGGACAGAAGTATCAGGTCAGGTTGAGGTTACATAAAAGCAACATAATTAAGATATTTTGTTTATCAAAAGAAAGTTATATTAGTGAAAATGGCAGTGCAATGATGTCCAAAAATCTCTTCTCCATAAAAGTGATGAGAAAACTGGTAAAAGTTGTCAGAATCAAATTTTTCTGAACTCTGGAAATTAACCAAGGCTTGGAGTAACATGGAGAGGGTTCATTCAAGAATAAATGGCTAAATTTCAGGAAGGCCAGTGAGCTTACGGCATTTAATAGTCTCATTCCCTGCTCTCCAGGTGCACAGCAATCTTGTAAAATAAAACTCGGCATTCCTATTGCAGGCTGGCAGAACCCCCAGAGGTAACAGAATGAAGTTGGAGATCTTACACAGCTCCACTTCCAAATAATTGCTCTTTAGAAAGAGACCTATTTCATGGTTTCCTGGAATGTTCCCACTTACAAGGCTGTCTGTATCTGACCTGACTTAGAGACTGCCCGATACAGAAAGCCTTCTCCCCAAGGAACATTTGTTGAGGACAATTAACAGGCACATATTTTAACTTTGTAGCTGCTTGAGGTGGTGAATAGCATTCGAAACAACCAATACGCTAGCCAAAAAAGCTGTAAAAAGAAAAGCTGGGGCATGAGACAGTCCTAGGAACTTAGAAAATCCTGACCTATTCCTGGGAATCTAGAAGGTCATATGTATGTCAGTATTGGCCACACGGTCCAGGCTGTGTGCATGCTGAGGAAAGACCTGAGAAGGCCGTCTGCTCTCACCTCTAGCTGACCTTGAGGCTCTGTGCAAGCAGAAAGGGAAAGCTAGGCAATATTGTCAACTGCCTGACTGAGTGTTGAAGAAGTGTTCTAACACATGAATACAGCTCCTTGGCAGAAACAGGAAGATTTATTTGTTCCAGACATTTGAGGAAACCTCTATCTAATCATTAGCTGTAGAGACTTTAGTAGCTACACACGGAAAAGAATACAGACTTTGCAGAATTAGTTTAGAAAAATCCCTAAATAAACAAAAATAACTAACAACTACAAGCAGCAATAGCTATAAACCTGGAGTGGGGAAGGTCTAATTTTTCTGGCTGTCAAATTACATTATTTTAAATGTCTAGTTTCCAACAAAAATTGTGAGACATGCAAAGATACAAGAAAGCATGGTTTACATGCAGTTGGAAAAACAAGCATTCAGTAGAAATTGTCTCTGAAGAACCCCAAATGTTGTGTTTACTAAAGAAATACTTTAAATAAGCTGTTTTGCTCAAAGAGCTAAAAGAGAAAATGTGTCTTTGCTTGAACATTTTTGAATATGTTCAAAGAGCAAAAAGAGACAATGTCTAAAGAACTAAGGAAAAGTATGATGTGTCAGCAAATAGAGAATATTAATAAAGAAATAGGACTTTTATTTGGAAAAATCAAATAGAAATTCTGCAGTTAAAAAGTACAATTAATGATATGAAAAATTCACTAGAAGGCTCAATAGCAGAGGTGAGCATGCACAGGGCTCAATAGCAGAGATGAGCATGCAGAAGATAGAATAACAGAACTTGAATATAGTCAATAGAGATTATGAAGTATGAAGAACAGAAAGAAAAAAGAACAAAGAAAAATGAACACAGCCTCAGAGATCTGTAGAACAACATTAAGATTACCAACAACATGTGAATAATGGGAAACTCAGAAGAATTGGAGAGAAATAATGGGGCAGAAAGAACATTTGAAGAATTAATGGCTGAAAATTTCTCCAATTTGTTAGAAAACATTTAGCCACACAGACAAGTAGCTCAATGAATTGCAAGTAAGATAAACTCAAAGAGATCCACAGGTATATACATCATAATCAACCTGCCAGAACCCAAATACAAAGAGATAATCTTGAAAGCATCAAGAGAGAAGCAATTGACCATGTACAAGGGATTCTCATTTAGATTACAGCTGATTTCTAATCAGAAACCACAGAGACCAGAAGGTAATAGGATGACATATTCAAGGTGCTGAGAGAAAAAAAAAAATGTCAATTAAGAATTCTATATATGGCAAAGCTAGGCTTCAAAGATAAGGAGAAATTCATATTTTTCCATTTTTAGGAAAACTTTGTGTAGCCACCATGGCTCTGATCTCATCTTGAATTGTACTCTCAGAATTCCCACATGTTGTGGGAGTGACCCGGTGGGAGATAATTGAATCATGAGGGCGGTTTCCCCCACACTGTTCTCATGGTAGTGAATAAGTCTCACAAGATCTGATGGTTTTATCAGGGGTTTCCACTTTTGTGTCTTTCTCATTCTCTCTTTGCCTGCTGCCATCCATGTAAGATGGGACTTGCTCCTCCTTCCCTTCTACCATGATTGTGAGGATTCCCTGCCCATGTGGGACTATAAGTCCATTTAAACCTCTTTCTTTTGTAAATTGCCCAGTCTTTGGTATGTTTTTATCAGCAGCATGAAAACAGACTAATACAGGCTCGCACCTGTAATCTCATCACTTTAGGAGGCCAAGGTGGGAGGATCACTTGAGGCCAGGAGTTTGAGACCAGCCTGGGCAACATAATGAGACCTCATTTCCATTAAAAATTTAGAAATAGCTGGGCATGGTGTTATGTTCCTGTAGTCCAAGCTACTTGGGAGGCTGAGGCAGGAGGATCACTTAAGCCCAGGAGGTCGAGGCTGCAGTGAGCCATAATCAGGCCACTGCACTCCAGCCTGGGCGACAGAGTGAGACCCTGTCTCTAAAAAATAAATACACACATACAGAAATAAAACTTAAAAAACAAGATAATTTGTCACTAGCAGACTTACCTTACTAGAAATACTAGAGGGAGTCCTTCAGTTAGAAATGAAAAAATGCTGGACAGTAACTTGGATTCATGTGAAGAAACAAAAGACCAACAGTTAAGGTGATAACACAGGTAAATATAAAATACATGATCATTGTAAGTTTTATTTGTAACTCTCTTTTCCTTTCTAATTTAAATGACAACTGAATAAACAATTATAAATTTGTTGATATATAAACAACAGATAAGGATGACACTTGTGATAATAACAGCACAAAAAAGGGGGGAGAGAATGAAGAGCAAAGTTTTGTGCACTGTTGAAATTGGTATGAATCTGAACTAGTTTGTTATAAATTAAGATGTGACTTGTAATCCCCAGAACAATTTATATGAAAATCACTATAAATATATGGTAAAATACATGAAAAGAAAAGTAAATGATACACTAGAGTATATTTAACAAAAGAAGGCAGGAGTAGAAGAACAAAAAGACATGAACATATAGAAAAAATAGTGAAATGTCAGACTTAAAGACAAAGTGAACATTCTTGTCTGTGGTACAAGGATTGAGATGGATTGATGCAAACAACAGATTGCCAATACCAGGAGATTCATAGGGATGAGGAAGGAGCAGGAGAGAAATACTCCTAGAAGGAAATCCATTGTGTTAAATCCTGTACCTCAACCCCACCAGGTAGTCCCATTTGTCCCCCCTGCAGGCTCTTGAGCTGTTCCTACCTGCTCCAAGGCTGGCTCCCACTCAGTAGTGGGTTTACCATAACGAGAATGAAGCTTACAGTAGGAGACTTCCTTCAGAGATTCGGGGATGTGGCAGATTCAGGCACTGGCCAGGTACATGGAGCACTGCCCCAGCCCAGGGGTCAGTCACCATTACACCTTGCTGGTGAGAGGCTACAGGAAAAGCCAGAGCACTGGCAGCATTGCCTTGGATCTCGCAGCCCCAGTAACAGTCTGCCCCTTTTGGACTGATGGAGCATCCCGAGCTGGTAATTTACTTCATGGAGATGGATCTGAAGGATGCTGCTCTTCTCCCTGCTTGGGATGGACCAGTCCTGCAAGAACAGGAAGTTTAGGGCAAGGGTGTGGGAAACTGGATGGTCACATCCTGAGAGATTGGGAAATTAAAGGCCCAAGTCGTCTGAGGGCTTAGCCTAATTCTCCATCTCTCACAACCCCCTAGAGCCTCTGGTCCCACTAGAGGCTCTGAGGGCTTCCTTTGACTCTGCACCCCTCCTTAGTTCCCAAAGAAGAACCCGCTGAGCAAGAAACTGCACAGAAAGTCACCATCGTGCATTAACCAATTATGAGAGATAAAACTGAGAGAAGCTTTTCTAAATGATCAATAATAACAAAAATTCTGTCAACCCTGCTAGAGGAAAGATGGAATTAGCTTTCTATTCTCTCTGCAGAAAATGATATGACAAAACTGTTGTCCTAGGAAGAGGCAATAAAAGAATATGCAGGAAAAAAAAAAAAAACAACAAAACCACAGAGAAATGAGTATTACCGAAGTGTGTCAGGCAGTCAATGACAACTGCTAACAATTTCATGTTGTTTTTCTGGATTTAAAATGTTTGTGATATTTGGTAGCTTTTTAGTATTTAAATTTGCATGATTTTTTTTCTTGTTCATTATCTAATTCTGTATTCTTTTTTTTTTCTAAAGTGGCTTACAAATTGCATAAGCTTTAGACCACAAACACCTCCAGCTGGGCCTCTTCCCACTGCTTATGGAAGACCCCCCAAGGGCCCACAGGGGAAAGCAGGCCTCTCGTCTCAGCAGAATCTCCCAATTTCTTGTTATTTGGTTGGTCAGTGTAGTCACTTATAATTAAAAAACATTTTACCTTATCTGTTTTGTCTCCTTTGTAGTCACTGGTATAATTTGTTTTTGTCTTCTTCTTCTTTATTTAATAAGCTATGTTAGATTATTTATTTTATGAGATTTTCTTTAAAAAAGTTTTTGCTTTTATAGATTTTGTTTCCTTGTTATCTAATTCAATTTCTACTATTATCCTCTTTTACTCTTTCTGCCAAAAAATACAGACCAGATTTTAAAAATCAAAACAAAAAGCTATGGCTACAGCAAGGATGAAGGCCAAGTCTTCACTCCCATGGAAATTTTCTTCCAGCTAAGGTGAGGTAAGAAAACAAATTAATAGCTGAATGTATAATTTATTATTCCAGCTAACGTGAGGTAAAAAACAAATTAATAACTGAATGTAGAATTTATTGTCAGGTGGTGACTGGTACTGTGAAGAAAAATACATGTAGGTAAGTGGATATGGAATGATGGAGGTGGCATCTGCTTTAGATGGGATGGTCAGGGAAGCACTTTTCAGGAAAGTGACACCTGAGCAGAGACCTGAGTAGGTGAGGAAGAGAGCAAGACTGTGTGTGTTCTGGGCAAAGGGAGAGCAAGTGCAAAGACCCTGTGGTAGAAATGGGATTGGAATGTCCTAGGACTCGCAAGAAGGCCACCGTGTGCCATGCAGATCAAGTAAGGAAAGCAGAGAGAGAGGTTCCAGAGCTCAGATCTTATGTAACCCTACAAACTATAGGGAGAGTACAATTTTTATTCTAAATACAAAAGCAAGACAACAGAGAGTGTGGGGCTGGAGAGCGCTGAGGCAGATAGACGTATAAATCTACAATAACCGCTGGTAGGAAAACCTCCCTTGCATTTGACTCTGCTTCTCAGAACTTGCTTGTTGGTCCTAGAAGCACAAAGGAGCTGGGTCCCACCAGGAACAGCTGGGCAGCAGTGAGTGCTGGAAAATGAGAGAGGAAGAGACAGATGGATGAGGATTAGAAGAACCCTCCAACGGGTCCAGCTTTGAATGTGAGGTGGAAAGTGGGAAGGTGAATGGAGAGTCACTGACACAGGGACAAGTGCTAAGACTCGGAACAGGGGGCAGAAAACGCTCAGCAGAAGTTAGAAGGAGTCTCTCTTCTGCCGTTATTATTCATTTGTTCCACAAGTAACACACGTCATTTGTAAACATATTAGAAAATACAGATAAAGAAGAAAAAAGTCATTTTAAATTGCAAATCTAAAGATTGTTAGACTAAATTGCAAACCTAAAGATTGTTAGATTTGCAATTTAATTGTTAATATTTTGGTCTGAACAGTTCCATCTTTCCTACACATTTACATATATATAAATGTATATATACATATATATAATGTACATTTTTTACACAAAATCATATTTGCATTATACTCTAATTTTTGCATTAAATATTTTATAAACATCCTCATGTCAATAAAGGTAGGTTACTCTTAACATTTTTAATAAGTGCAGGAAGATTGCTCTGTATATTTTTACTATAGTTTATCTAAACACTTCCCTGGTCATTTAGGTTTTTTTCACATTTTGCCTTCATAAACAGCCACGTAACAGAGCTCTCTAAATTTAGATGCTGGGCACTTGTTGTTTCTTGATACTAAATACCTACATAGGCTATCGCTAGGTTAAAGAAGTAAAGATTTCAAACCTCTAGATATATTGGCAAGCAATTCTCAATAACTATTGACTTAAAAATTCCCCCAACATGGTGTTGCTACTACCCCCACACCATCACCAGTACTAGCTACTTCACTATTTTGCATTTTTGTTATCATCAGGTCAACTGTGACACTACTTAATTGTTGTATTAGTTTTTACTTTTGTTACTAATTTTCATGTACTTATTCATCTTTCTGGAACTGCCCAGTTCATATCTTTTGCCTACTCTGTTGAGCAGGCTTGTCTTTTTCTCATTGTTTTTGAGAGTTCATATTATGTTTATAGTAATTCTATTACATATGTTATGATGGTTTCCCAATTTTTTTTTTAATTTTTTTATACAGAGTCTCACTCTGTTGCCCAGCCTGGAGTGCAATGGCACAATCTTGGCTCACTGCAACCTCCACCTTCCAGGTTCAAGTGATTCTCCTACCTCAGCCTCCCGAGTAGCTGGGACTACAGGCGCCCGCCACTACATCCGGCTAATTTTTGCATTTTTAGTAGAGATGAGTTTAGTAGAGATGAGTCACCATGTTGGATAAGCTGTTCTCGAACTCCTGACCTTGTGATCTTCCCACCTCAACCTCCCAAAGTGCTGAGATTACAGGCATGAGCCACCATGCCCGGCCCCAATGTTCTATTACCATGGTGAGATTTTATTTTATTTTAAATTTTTTATGTAATCAGACCTATGAAGTTTCTGGTTGTAACGTCCAAGTTGGAAAGACTTCCCCTGCCCCAGAGGTCTATCAATACTCATTTTATATTTCTCCTGGTAAAGATTTATATTTACATTTTAACTTAACTGGCTACCCTAGTCCTACTAGCATTACAGTGAGAAACAATTTAAAAACAAAGTCACCCCGTTCTACCAACATCCCTCCTTACACCAGCATTCCCCGTTCCACCAGCCTCCCTCCTTACACCAGCATTCCCCGTTCCACCAGCCTCCCTCCTTACACCAGCATTCCCCGTTCCACCAGCCTCCCTCCATACACCAGCATTCCCTGTTCCACTAGCACTCCTTGCGCACAAGCTCTCTTCCTGAATCTGTCTTTTTCTCGTAGGTTATAGAGTGTCCTGAGAGTAATTAATCTCCAGCGCTGACAACAGTGAGGCTCAGCAGGCTCCAGTCATATAAGGCACAGTCCCTAAGGCTTGCTTCTATCTTTCCTCAGGGGAGGGCTGTCCCCAGCTCCTAGAGTGGCCCCTTGTGTCTTCTCACACACACAGGGAGGAAAAAGATGAAGGAATGACACTCCTCTTAGCCTGTCTATTTGACTTGACCTTTCCCTACATCTGTCTAAAGTCATGATGGATGGCCATACTGGAGTCACTGCTAGACTCTCCTCAGAAGACTGTCTGGACCACCAGTGACCCTTAACACAGACAAGTATGTGCTGTGGAAGAGTAGCTTCTAGACTTTTCTTCTTCCTCTGCAGCCACCCCCATTTAGTATATGCCCCCAGAAGGCAATCAGGGTATCAAATCATTCCGTTTGAGCTTTAAAAACAGTGCTTTTTAAAAACAACGAATACAAGGAAGAGGTAAACGTCTTAATCCCCACAGACTGTTGATCTTCTCTTGAGATTTCTGTTCAAATGTCACTGTGAATTTTCTACTCCCTAAATTTATTAAACCAACAGCATTCCCAGAGCACATGTACATACTCGGTATTATTGAAATGCTGTCACTTTGGGGAGAGAGCAGCTGTTTCTTGGAGGCAGTAAACAATGGTTTTCAACAGGAAGCAGGAGAAAACATGTCCGGAGAAAACTTTCTGGGAGAAAAACAAACACTGACTAAGTTTGATTCTGGTCAAATGACACAGTTTTGTTTTATCTAGAAAGTGATATCACAGAAACTCCATGTTCTAATATTTAATTATGTGATTAATACAATGATCACAGATTACTTCATTACAAAATTGTTACTCTACATATATACTGGTCCATTTGCAAAGTAAAACACATGAGTTCCTCTATCAGTGTTGTTCTTGAAGGCAGGGGTAGGGTGGGGTGGGGGGAGCAATTTTGCCTGCCAGGGACATTTGACAATGTCTGGAGGCATTTTTTTAATTGTGACAACTGGGAGGGGTGCTACTGGCATCTAGTGGCTAGAGACCAGGGATGTTGCTCAGCCTACTACAATGCTCAGGACAGCCCCTGCCGCTGCTCCCATCAAAGCAAAGAATGACTAGCCCCAAATGTAAATAGTATCGAGAGAAAAGCGATGGAGAGCAATTAGGAAAGGCATCTCCTACACATTCTCTCTGATTTTCTCGCAGTTTAATGCAGGAAGAAAAACATTGACCTATGCCCAGAAGGACACTAGTGATGCAGGAAAAGTGGAACCCTAGGAGGCAGGAATCATTGCCTGCTGATGGGAAGGTCCTGGGAACATGGAGTATTAGAACCATGTTTATGGGGGCCTAGTCCAGTCCCTCACCCCGGGTCTTGTTCCCTCCATGTCACGACTTCAGTGCCCTCCACACTGTAAAAGTCACCAGTGAATGGCGTGTGAAACTTTCCAGACTTTCTTTGGTTGGGCGCATGTCAAGTGTTGTTGAACCCTGGTCTCGGGTCGGCTCAGCTCAGCAGCTTGAGCTCCTTATCAAGCTCCATCTTCAGCTCCTTATCATGCTCTTCCTCTCCACCTCCTTTCTTCTTTTCTTCTCCTGGTTAAGGTTAAGAGCCTGCAGTCCCATCCACCCCTGCTCCAGGAAAACCTCAGCAACACTTCTCTGGTCTACTCAATCCCTTCTTTCCTAGGGGCTCTTTCTCTTCATCTGTGATCTCCCAGGAAGCAAAGTTTCCCTTGAACCCATCTACCATCCTCTCCCCAAGGCTCCAACTCACCTTCTTGCAAACATGGTTTCAGCTATCTCCTCTGTCATTGATAATAATGTGTGCCATGCACTGTGCTAAGAATTTGACCCTCAATACCCTAAGGAGGTCAACATTGCTATTCAGCCCATTGTACAGATGAGTTTGAAAACCTGGGTTCAAACTGTGGCCGTGGCAGTCACTCAGCCTCTGAGTCTCAGATTCTCTATTTGTAATGGGACCAATAACATCTTCCTTGGTACTCAGGTTTTTAAAATATAGGATCAAGTGAATTAAAGCACATTATCATCATCATCACCATGAGTGCTTTCATGTATTGTTGATTCGATATTAATTTCTAAAGAAACCAAATAAGGAGACAAGGTAAAATCATTTAACATATTCCTGACTTCCTCTCTGTGTCAAGACTGAGGAAATCACACACAGGGTCTGTTTCCCTATGCCCAGCCCATCAACAACAAGCCCTCAGAACAGGGACTGTGCAATCGATCACCTG